TTATTGGAGATCTATAAGCAATGTGGAGTAGAAACAAAATCGTAAGCCTACTAAAAAAAATATTTGTATATCAAAAAATAGAAGAAAATCTGCAATTGTTCACCGAAATCAAAAAACATATGTAATTGGTTGGTTTTTGGTAAGCCGTAGGCCGTAATCCTAATATAAAAAAAAATATGTGTGCAAATATGTTGCATTATGTACAATAGCAAAAAATAATGAAAGGAAATCCCCTATAATCTTCTGCAGTTTTTTTTTATAAATCGCTCGCCGCTGTGAGCATAGTTTAGGCTATTATTTTAAATGCCCAAATGAAGGTCAGTATTGCCAATGCGGAGGAAATTAAAAATGTATATAAATTGATCGAATCTAGGTTTGGAGGGGCGAAGTTCCGGTTGGGGTGAACGCCGAACCGGAAACATTTTTTCTTGGGCATACACAATTGGTGAAAAAAGAACACAAAGTATCAGAATAGTGACCTCACGCCATACGCGTAGCATCTGCTACACCATTATTACGTTTGTTTTACCCTGAGTGCATCCATAACGTCAATTACATAAAGGTAATAAAAATCCTTTCTGCGCCGTCGGTCTATTAATGCTCTTTAGTTTTCTCGCCTCTTATTATGTCTGTAGAATGTGAAAATAAATGCACAAAATGTGCATATTTTAACATTTCATATACATTAAGGATACATACAAAATATGAGAGTATTTTGTTAAAGTTTCACTTAAATATGTCAATCAGAAAAAAATTGAAATTTGCTTTGAAAATACATACAAATCCAATTTAATAAATTTACAAACGTCTCTTGTTAATAATAATAATTGTAAATATTTATAGGATAAATTTGATTTATAAAATTTAAAATTTTCATTAAAATTTGATACAAATTCAATTATGAAGTTGAAATAAAAATGATTTAATAACAGTAACATTTTCATTCAATATTTATTATTTTTTAAATGTCTATTGTTAATAAAGTAGTATGCAATTGAAAATATCTATTTGAGAAATACGATTTAGAAATGTTGCTGTGCAGTTGTACGATTTTGTGGACACACAATTTGTTGCATAAGTATCAATTTGCGGTGTGCACACTTGATCCCTTTACGGTATAAAGTCTATAATTGGCACTGTTAAAGTGCGAGTGAACGATCGAGAGGTGTGTATTCATGTGGGTTATCCAATTTCCATTTGATGTGGAGGTCTCAACATTTCAATCATGCGAGCAACAGCGAAGCTTCTTCCAGGAAAACCAGTAAAAGTTTTCTACATTTATCATACTAAACATTGAAAAGAATGCATATTCATTACTATTTTCTGAAAACTATATTATTCAATTATTATTATTCAACTATATTATTCACTATATTATTTCAATGTAAACGCAATACAATATCATTGACTTAAATCATTTAAGTAACTTTAAAAACATTTAGCAGGTAGCAAAAACCAAATCAAATTTTTTATTTTTAGTTTTATTATATTATTTTTAAAATGTTGAGAAACATAATTTCGATCAAAATTATTTCATAGTAAATCAAACAGTCGAGGACTTTAAAACTCTATAAAATAAGTTGAAGAGTAGATCTTTAACGCATACAAAAAAAATCTCTTTCTTTTGAAATTTTCATAGACTGTAGTGAATCCGGATTGATTAAAGCCGCACTATGTGAGGGATTACTTATTAATTTATATAATCATAACAATTACTGAAACAAACCGAAAATTCAGACTTTTCTTCAAGAAAATAAAACAAAAACTCATTTTTCTGAATCACATTTATTTCAATGCACATAATATTGTATAATTCTTATTTAGTATAGCTAATCTATATGTAGTAATAAAAACATTACAAAGTGTACTATTTTATTTTACATTTGTATACTTTCTTTTATTTCAATGTAAAAAGTTTCAATCTTAGTAAATAAAAAATTAGGTTTATACAGAATCATTCATATTTAGGTAAAATTATTATATTACTATATTTTTTGTGGAAAAATAAAGGGGTAAAGTTTAATTGAGTCTAGTTATAAACGAGTAAAAGTTATTTTTTACACGAAATTAAGTATTTTAATTGATTATATCATTTTTCATGATCATATTAATTTCAATGCGTAATAAAGAGTCTTTATATTCTTTTAAAATTGTTTTATTAACTTATTTCATTGTGAATATCACTTGAATGTTCTATTCAACACACAGAAATTAATTTTATTCTTGAATTTGTAAATTTCTATTATTGTATATCAATGTATATCAATAATAGTTTAAATCAAGTTTTAATTACTTTCTATCCAGATTTGTCCAATATTGTAGGTTTGTAATATTTTTAGTGCGGTGTTCAATTGCCGGATCGCAGTAAATTGCTTCCAGTTTATAAATCAATATTTGCAATATTATATACGCATATGTATCAAATATATAACATATTAAATTACCAGGCTAAACTATGGAAACACACAACGGTATCATTTATTCTCTTTAATTCCCTTTCTTTAAGGTTTGCACAAAACAACAGAAAACATGTGTATAATCACGTACTCGAGGGAATACGAATGTCTTCTGTATATCAACATTTTGTATGTGCTCTGCGATCTTCATAAACGAGAGTATATGTGTGTTTGTGTACGATTTCATTCGGTGTTGACAAAACGTAAAATTATCGATTTTCCTCGAGCGGAAAAGGACATTTGTGCGGAACTCATTTCACGTGCGTTATTTTTTCTCCAAATAGACGCTGCTAATAAACATTTCCTGCTATCTAAATAAAAATCTTTGACAGTACAACCTCCTCTGTCGGCCTCCCGGCCATTCGGTCTCTAGCAATAGTATTTTTTTGTAGGAGCAAAAAAAAAGTACGTTGGTTTGCTAAACCAAACAAGATTTAATTTGATGTATTTTCCTAATTGTTTCGCACTGAATGTTCTATTATTAAACGAATACCTTTTGATTATACAACATATATTTTGTATTATTTGCAAACGTTTTTCATACAAACTTGTTTTCAATTCTAATCTTTTGATTTTTAATACTTTATGTAAAAAATCATCTTATCTTATTTATATTATGTTGTCTATTATCTAATAAGTAAGTTTATCGCGTTGACTGTATACCTACAATGGAAACCGCATTAAAAGAAACCTAGAACTACTAATAATTAGACATAGTTACATTTATATCAATGAAATTGTCTTTATACATATTTTCGTGTAGTAATATATCATATAATACCATTAATTCTTCTAAATCTGAATTCTCTTTTCGATTAGTTCTTCTACATCCAATCCATTTGTATTATATAGAAACCACATTATATGAAAACCATATTATATGATGGTATTATCTCTTTTTCTTAATAACATTTAATTTTGTAAACTAAAAGAAATTATACAAAATATTCCAAATTAGTTAAAAAAAATCAATAAAAAAAAGTGTATATAAATGATTATATCTTATACCAATGTATCATATAATACCATTAGTTCTTCTAGATCTAAAGTCTCTTTTCGATTAGTTTTTCTACATCTAATCCAGTTGCATTATAAAAAATGTTGAGCCACAACAACACACAAATATTATATATATTTTATATTATGATTGAGATTTTTTTTAAATTATTATACCAAAAAGTTTAGGTGCGGCTCTTGCTGCAAAAAGTTTGGCTACCCTTGGTATAGTGTATCATCATACATCAACTCTTCTCAATCTACCGTCTCTTTTCGATTAGTTTTTCTACATCTAATCCATTTGTGTTATAAAGAAACCGCTTTTTCGCGTAATATGAAAACTACTTTATGATAGTACCGCCTTATAAAAGGATTAACTATACTTCAGTATTGATACTTGTGATGTATGAATAATTAAATTATGTTGCTATTGCTGTCTTTGTTCGTAATCTAATATACAGCAATTCAATATAGACTAATCGACACTTTAAATCCGCATAAAAATAAACTACACAAATAGGACTTGAATGTATAAAGGAAAAAAATATTATCATAAATTACATGAAAAACTATGATAATACAACTAATTCAAAATTAACTTCAATTACTCATTATACTACCATATTTATATAGTTCAAAAATTTTATGTCACTTTATATGGATACAGCTATTATGTGATTTTTTATAATATCACACAGTAAATTTAATATGATTGGTCCTTCGCAACTGCCGAAAGAAAAAACTATTCGTATTACACCGAATAAAATAAATAGTTCAATGACAAAGCAGAACAGCATTAAAATAAAACACGTCAAAAAAAAGAACATTGACTAAACAGAACATCGGAAGAAACTATTAAAGTTCAAGTAAAATAGAAATAAACAAATGACAAAGATTGAATATAACATTCATTGTGTATTTAGATGTGTTGCCTATATAACTAATATCTGTTTCCGATCTTTTGTTTTGTCATTTGTTCTTCTTTGACGTGTTCTTTTTGAATAAGAAATTCAAATGCTATACTAACTCGTTAAGCGAGTCATTTTACTTACAATTTATTGTGCTCGTTAAGCAAAATGATCGTTATACGAGGTGATCGTTAAGCGAGGTTTCACTGTATTTAATTGCTATATTGAGATCTGCTGTTCATACCAATTTCAGTAAATTTATTATATTTGATTGTTGCCAACTTCACAAAAACAATTGGTGTCACACCGAATGAAATAAATTCCAATCAGAAAATTTAATTAAAAAAAAATAATTGCGGATATGGACCAAAATATTGATATGAATTGTGATAATATGTTATATATAAAGACACGTAAATCATATACAAAATAAGATGCGTGTAGGAATTGCATATTTTGTTGTTAATAAATAGATAATCCTTAATATTGTATAAATATTTTTTTGGTATAATATGAATATAATATATTATTTTATTTGTCATTATTTAAATGTCATATTGGGATCAGCTGTTCATACCAACTTCAAACAACCATTTTGTTTTTTTTTTGCTTGTTTGATTCACTTGTTCTCATTGATTACGTCCGAACGGTTCAAAAGAACGCATCGCTTCGCAATAAATTCAAAATTTCAATAAATCCTGTGGATTAGCTGAAGTTTATACGAATCCGGTGGAGGCAGTATTAAAGTGCGATAATAATCGACATCAATTTGTCCACGTAAGTTTGAGCCTCTATTATTGAAAAGACATTGGCCCCTGGGATTACTATACCAGCCTACCTCTACATGCGTTATTCATTTTGCTTTGATCTGTCAAATGCAGATGTCGCTTATGTGTAATGCATACAAAAAAAGACAAGTTATGTATTGTATCATAACATACATATGTGTGTTTTATTCTGAAGCTCACGTAAATATACTTATAAATAATGACTATTGTATATACGGTCTTTGTATTGTAAAGTTTGTGTTTGTTATGAGATTTCCCTTTTAACTGATCGTTAATTACGAGGTTCTTTAGCTAAAGGATACCTCCAAGCTCTTATTGAGTAATTTAAAACAAAAATACGTGAAGAATATGATTTACTTTTGTATTTTTAATAACTGTTTAATACAAAAATGCAAGTGATTTTTTTTTAATTTATAAACTTTAAGCTAGCCTAAGAAAAATTAATAATCTTAAAAAAAATACATTTGAAAATTGACAAGAATTATTTTATTATCTTTATTATTAATTATTATCATATTTTTACAGATCAATTTAAAAACAAAATAAATATTTATGAGTTGTAAATCAATTACAAAATGTTTCAAATTATTAAAAAAAAATGTATATATAAATGATTATATCTATAAAATTTATTTGCTATTTGTTTAATACAACTTATATTTTTTTTTTCTCTATTTACCGTTTACACGCTAAGCACTAGCACATTTAAAATTTCAATTAAATTTTAAATTGCAAACGATTAAAATATCAAACGGACCAACGTATTTTGCTGCAATTCTGTATTCAGAGCATTCATTCATTTACATTAATTAAAATTACCGTGAGTTCGTTCGTGGCACATACGTATATACACGTAGATAGAAAGATGTGCATTGCTAAAGTCCTAAACTTTACATATTTTTTTTTGACAGTTTTTAATTAAATTAATTCTAAGATCATTTCATAAAATAGTATATGTTTAGTACAAGACTTTGAAAGTTTTCAAGATAATATTTAGTAGTCCGTTTCTTTCAGTTCATTGCTGGAATATGCAAAAATGTCATGAAGCTATGTATTTTATTTCAGTTCGTTTTTTTGTAGGAATAATCAGTTTCATATTTTATTTACACATACATTTAAAATTATAATTAGTTTTTATTATTTTTTACGTTATTATTACAATATATTTTCTTAGTTTAATAAAGTTTCAAAATGTCATAATATTTCTAACATTCAAATAAAATAAAGTAATGACATCTGTTTTTTCAATTTTGAAAAGGGAAACAATTAATTCTTCTTCCGATTACCCGGACTATGCAAGGAATTACTATACTTTACACACTAAAGTTGAATTTCTTCACAAAATAAAACTTTCCAATGAAGAAAGTAAATTTTAACTAATATACTTGACAAATTTTAATGTATTTAATTATAATTAATTACTATTCACAAATAAAACGTTTCTTATCATATTTTTTTCGGAAATTATGAGATTTTTTTAATTAAATGTCGATCGAATGCGTGACGCTTCGTTTGGACACGAAACATTAAATTTACATTACGTTTGCGTTGCGACTCTTCTGCGGTGTTTAATTAAATTCGACAATGAATCATATTGTTTCCCAATCACCAATTAATGCGATTTACTTAAAAAAATCCGCATTTGTGTGTTTTGACATTTCATCATTCAATTATTTTTTTTATTGAGACATTGATTTGAATTCAGATGTTATATTAATTATAATAAAAAATGATTTGCAAAACAATACAAATAAATTAAGATCATATAGCGGATTTTTAAGTACCAGCATGTAGCTAGTAAGTAAGTAAAATTGAAAATTAAAGTAAATTATAGTGTTAAACGCAACATGTTAAAAAGATATATTTGTAGCGCTTGAATAATCCCTTATCTAGTAAATTTATTCCATTTTTATCATAATGAAATAAGTAAAATAAGTATTTCTATTTAATTATTTTCAGCAATTAAATTTTGAAGAATTATTTCATAATATATTAAATAGTTCGAAAAGACAATAGCCCTTTATATGAATTCATTTCCAGAAATGATTCTGCATGTTTGTATAAATATTTGTTTAATTATTTTTCGCATGTTATTATTGGGTTGCCCGGAGAGTTTTTGCCTATTTTTCACGAAAATTCAAAATCAAAAATAAACCTTTCTTCATCTTACACGCAACATCATCTCAGAATGTATGAAGTTTTGCGTTAGGTGATTTTTTTTATCTCGACAACAAATTAATCGTTCTTGCGATTTGCAAAGATTCAAATTTGTGGAAATCGAATTGTATGGTGAATATTACGTGTGGTCAAATACAACTCTGTCCGACACCAACAATTGTTAGTAGTAAAAGAAATACAAATGCTTATAATGTCGTGTTTTTTGTCCATTAAATTGTGCAAAACTCTTATATCTTAACGCTTTTAGTAAGCAAGCTTCAACAACGTTCGTCAGTAGTTGCTTTTGGGTTTTTCTGGATCAATGTCTTATTTTCATCATTATTATTAGTTGAATTAAGGCTGAAATCATCAGCTCTAAATCTAGAGAATTATGTTCATAAAGTAAATTTAGCTAAATAAACTTCTCCTTAAGCAGAGTATATCTTAATTATTGCATAATTACATAAATAACAACAATAAGTATTTACGTTAATATAGAGATACATATTGTATTTTTTTGACATAAATAGCACTACTTTAGAACGACAATATCCTTTAGTGTTTATTCATATTGAATAAACAGTTTATATGCACTCCAATATGCAGATGACAAAGCTCATATATCACATGACAAACGTACTTTTGAATAAAATATTGAACATACAGTTTTTTTATTACTTCTCGAATAATATAGTATATTAAACAGAAAGGTTTCGATCACAGGTCCTAATTAGTGACAATAAAAATAGTAAATAAATAAATGGACCATGATCTCTTTTACTTACAGATCACTACGCCTATGTATTTCAATCTAAAGTTTACATATATTCAATTCAATTATTAACAACTTTCCTTCTATTGTTTAATTGTTTAAAAAAATAAGTAATTATAGGTACAGAAAAAATAGTATTTTTTAATATTAACTATTGACAAGTTTGATAAACGATTCCAATTATTATATATTTTTTAAATCTTTATTAATCAAATAGTTTTATTTTTTTATCGATACTACACTGATGATGTTTGTTATAACTTATACAGAAATTTCCAATTATACTAGCTAGAACAATGTTCTTTCCGCCCTAATATAAGAAAAAATGAAATTCTTACATTTCATTATTAATTTATCAATTTGAATAGCCGTTTTATAGAGTTCATCTTTTTGCTTAGAAAATCAATATTAATAAACGTTATTAGTAATTTCTGTTTTCTAAATGTAAACCTTCAGAAGAAACCAAGACTGAATCGAAACCGTGGTACTGTGTTAAAGTAATTAAAGCTGAGATTTTATTAACGTAAAAGCAAAGCATTCGCTTGTTTGTATACCTATGTATTATATAAATTATTGACAAGCAGCGAGAAGAAAATAAAAAACTGTAATATCATAAAATATATTGGATGTTCTTTACCCAAAGAGAGGGAAGCTGCTGGAGTTGCCCAAAAAAGCATACACAACGTAACAATATTAGAGTATCGCATCGACTTAATTAAATTTGCATTTCTTGACTTATTTTATTACTACTTTTTGTATTATTCCTTTAAGCCATATTATACATAAATAATTAAATTTTAATTAATAAAAAAAAACTATAATTTATTTATACTTTTTTTAATATTATAATAATGTTAACATTAAGAATGAAGAAATTGTAACTATTTACTAATGTAAATTTAATAGGTGATTTATAGGTAAAATAATAATTGCATTTTTTTTTAAATTTAAATTTAAAAAAAAGTAAGTATTGTAATGATTATAAAAATAATATTCATAATTCATTAACTTTTAGATCAAAAGTGAAGAAATTGATACTATTTACGAATCTTATAATGATTTTATAAAACTGTATAAGCGTTTTATAATAATTGGATTAAAACTTAAGAAATTTGTAATAAATAATAATAATATTTATTCCAACAATAACAAAAATAAAACTATGAGGCGGAAACACCTCGGTCGATAGCCCTTTGGCCAGCCTATTAATATATTTTTTTAAATTTATGTTAGAATTTTTTTATTTTGAGAGTTGTTTTATTATTTAGTTTTTTTTTATATTATTATCATTTATTTATTTATAGAATATACTTTTTATTATTGATATGATTTTTTACAAATATCAGACTAAAAGAAAGTTGTTTTTTTTACAAATATTGTAATGATTATATAAATTATAAAAAAATCTCAATGCTTCTTGTGTAATTTCATGTTATTGGAATATTGGCTATGTTTAATACATACTCGAAACATTACATACACGTATGTAATGTTTTTGCAGCATAATTGTTTGTAAACATAGATTAAATGCACGTGTTAAAAGCATCAATCTGTTCATGCATAAATTTATATTATGTAATTGTATAACTCATCAGTTATATATAATAATAAATGAGTTATGTCACATGTTCATTATGGTATCAAACATCTAAAAAGCTAAATCAAATCATACATTTTGTCTCAGAGGTAATCATAAGTTTAACTAGGAAATAAGACAAAAAGAATCTCGCTTTCCATATAAATGTATAAGCTAATAGCTTATTTGATAACTGCTTTACAACTCGTCAGTTGAAACGCTTGAAACCACTCGATTTCCAGTTTCGTTTTAATTGGATATTAATATAATTATTTCAGCTTAAAACTGAACTATAAAGGTAAGCAGTTACCGAATACTCAAATCTGTGAAAATCTACCAATTGCAAATGTGTGTTAATCCTTAAACGAAACACATTCTAAATAATAGGTTGCGTTATGAATAAACACTGATAAAGTTTCCCAATTTGCTTTGGGTAAATAAATATTGCATAAAAATGAAATAAATTTACTGATTATTTTAATGGTTTACATAATATATAATATTTTATATATATATATAAATTATTAATTTAATTTAAAACCACAAACGAATAATATTTTAAATACATCTTTGTTATATATTCACTTAATATAATCTCTTTCTTTACTATAACATAGAATAGATGCAAATTTAAGTACACTTAACAATTGTATATAATTCGGAATATGTTTTAATATGATTTTATATATTGAACTTTTATGTATATATAATGATATTTAATTAGACAATAATTTAGTTTCTCTTAAGTTTATTGAAATCGTACATTAAAGTATAAAGACGAAATAAATGTGTGCGATATTGGCGGATTCTATAATCCGCAGTATGCGAGGTATGCTTTAAATGTAAAATAATATTAATATTTTTGTTCGCTTGATTAAAGTCTAAAGTTAGACATTTGTGTAATTGTTAAAAGCTAATTAAAATGTTACTTTACTTCTAATCTCTAATCTTGACGAAAACTTCTCTAAATATCGAAAATATCAACATTGGTTTTGGTAAAAGGGTATTGAAGAGTTTGTACATTAATTTTTATGAATTATTTGCATCTTGAGTTATTCATTGGATTGTAGATTCTATGAAAGTGAAATAAATTACGCAATTTTATGATTACTAAATAATAACATTATTTTTCTATAAAACCTAGTCTAATTACTAGCAACTAAAGTTGTGAATTTGTTAGAAATAGATAGTTTCTTTATAGATTTAAATAAAAAATATCAATTTGCATTTAAACCAATTATGTAGAAAAATAATATAATTATACAATGTAAATAAAAACATATTTCGTTCAATAATATATGATAATAAATGCATTTATTTGTATTAAATATTTTAAATTTTCATTATATAATTTATTAATAATATACGAAAGAAAAAAAAAACATTATTACGATATTAAATATAAATAATAACGAAGCAAATTAATTTAATCAATAAAGTAAATTTCCACTGTATTGTTATTAAATTAAAAGTGTATATTCAGTTAAAAATATATATATATAAAAAAAAACACAACTTTTTTGTAGAACAAAAAAGCCGATAGCCAATTTTCATTTCATGTTTATATATAGTTTTTCAAATTCATCACGTTTTATAAAAAATAAAATTTGTTGAGATAGTTTTCAATATATTTATTGAACAAATTGAAAATATTAATTATTGTTTGCTAGGATTCTTGTTTTTTTTTTATTTAAAAATTTATTTTGAATATTGTGCAAAAAATATTTCAATTTTTGAAAAATACTATTTTAATCATAATAGTAATTTTATCAATTGATTTTACTTTTTGTTATCATACAACAGTTTCTGACATTGAATATTATCTCATAGTATTATTTGATTTTTTTGCGTAAAAGTTCAATTTACAATGCTGAAACCAAACAAACATAAATGCAATAAATTAACATATGAACACATTATTGTTACAAAATAAAAATTATTTATTTATTTAATTTGGAGAATATTCATATTTATATTTATTATAAATAAAAAAGAAAGGTTTATATTTGTTATTTTTTTAATCATTTAATAGAAATCATAATTAGACGCATAATTTTTATTTATAATTAAAAAGGTTGAATATACAAATTTCAAAATATAATAAATAAATAAAAAGTTATATAATTATTGTTTAAAAAGTATTTAAGAACCTTTTTATTTCGTTTGCAAATTAGTTTGGACGAAAAAGAAAATAAAAAAATTAAATAAAAAAATATAAACTATCTCTTTTTTTGTACATAAACCAAATAAATGATTCAATAAAATTCAAACTAAATTCTATTAGACAATATTTCCAGAATATTTCATTATTTTCAACATTTCTTTCGGATCTTCAGTTAATCTGAAAACTGATGATTTGCAATAACATTTTTCAAGCACGATAAATAATAGATATTGTTCCAATAAATATGTGCAATTTATTGGAACAAAGTGTATTTATTCATAAATAGTATATGTTACTCACAATATAATTGTTTTTACATTTAATAATCATTTTCAATATATAATAGGATTAAACAGAGTATTTTTAACAACTTTCTGATTTTTTTTTAAACAATTTGTATGTTAAATTTAAAATGATATATAATTTTTAATTACATACAAAAATATGTTTAGTTATCAAGCACTAAAAATAAGTTATTGTTTTTCAAATATTTATTGGAACTGTATTTATTTACAAAATATCTTAAAATTGATTCATAAAAAATATATCTTATTTATAATATAATTGTTTTTACATTTAATAATCATTTTCAATATAAAAAAAATATTCAGGATTAAACAAAGTATTTTTTAATTTGAAGTTATATAGAATTTAGAATTATGTAGAAAAATATGTTTAGATGTGGACACAAAATAATGAGAAATTGTGAAGTATATAAAAAATTGCAAATACCTGTAACAGTTGTGTTGTATCCAGATCTATTGGTGAGGGCACTGCACGAAGACAAAGTTTTGACGATGCCTCCGACTGCCTTTATACCACCTGCCGCTGAACGGCATTTCGTCAGGCGCACTGCCCCCGCTCCCGCCTCCATTCATAACCATCAACTATTGGCAAGACGGAGAGAGATAGCGATCATCTCCATCCCACCTTGCATCCCTATGATTCCTTTTAATCCGCAGTGTTAACCCGTCCGAAAAAAAAGTAAGAGATATAAAAAAGAGACAAACGATAAAACCGCCTCCGCACTCTGGATGATGCCCTGCCACGTATGCAATATATTCAGATGCAATCACGTTAGGTGCGAAAGAAGCAAATAGAAATATTGAAGGTAATTTATGATTCGTTTCACGGTAGCTTTCATAATTGGCCGAAGGCAATAACAACCCCTAAGAATTTTTAATACACGCAAAAGAAAAGAAGAAGTAAAAAATCTTTAATTTCATTATGCAGCGGTTGGTAGAAAAAACTTTATGTTTGTTAAACGTTAATCACGCGTAACGTAACTTTCGACGCAATAAAAATGCTATACTAAAATAGTATTTATTATTAAAACATGTTTCAGAATTTAGTATAAATATCTGACTTTTGCTATTAGCACTTATGAATGTCGGAGATGAATTGTAAAAACTTTTACTTTTTATGTATAATATATCGAGATACAACTAACTCAATACAACAACTTTTCGGCACATACCAAAATACGGAGACCAAAACCTTACAGCTGACATTTGCGTTTTTGGCTGTTTAGGACAGCTTTCTCCTTTTGCTGTCCACTCAGCTGACGACTGATTTGACTCTGAAGTCTAGTGGTGGATCGAGGCTTCATCCATTGTTACATACCGCATAAAAAAACCTTTTTATTTCGCCTTGAAAAATTCCAAATCATATCATGCCGAATAGTCTTTTGGTAAAGTAAATTGAATTGAACTGCAGCTGAAAAATGAAATAACGTAGATAGAAACGCAAAATACGTCGTTCGTCGTTCAAGAAAATATAATATACATCGCATATGTCTTTTCATTAATTTTATATTTCATGGATGGTTAAATTAAATAAACCGAATAAGAGAAAACATATACGTTTTATCAACTTGAATAATAAACATCTATTAATAGTTTATTACATCATTATTTTTATATACGTCTCTAACTTCATGCAATATACAGATTGCCTAGTTATTATATGGAAGTCGTTTATAGTTTACTTCTAACATCATACTTCATGCATTTATGCTATAGACCAGGGTTTCCCAAACTATGTTCCGTGAAAAGCTGGAATGAAATAATTATTAAATAAATAAATAATGAATGTTTTATCTCATTTTTAAAAAAATTATTAATTAAGTATTATAACCTACCCTACAAAAAAGCAAGTCGTTCCGCGAAAATTTCAGGATTTACGAAGTGTTCCGTTGCAGGAAAACTTTGGGAAACCCTACTATAAACCAAGGGTCGGCAACGTTTTTGGAGCAAAGAGCCATTTTCAAGATATTGCATTTGTACTAGTAAAATGAATTTTATACAACTACCATCGCCGCGGGAGCCTCAATTTCTCATCAAAACAGCCTCATGAGGCTCCGTGGCCGCTGCTTGCCGTTTCCTGCTATAGACTGATCCAATTGGGAGAGTAGTATTTAACTCTACAAACAAAAAAGTTAATAAATAGAGAATGTAACATTTGTTATTTATAATTATAATTTACTGTATCTTATAAAGTTTTCTACTTTAAAATTACAATTAAAAGAATATTAATTATCATAATTTATTGTCCAGAATAAAAAAATATAAATTCAAAATAAACATCCTGAAAAAAAAAAGAAAAATAGATAAACTGAAAATATAAATAATTAACAAAATGAAAATTATTTGAACAATATAATAAATCTAAGTCTTTCAACCCGAAATAACTATTATTTACTGTTTATATTGTTTTATTTTAAGTAGAAAGAAGACTTTGCTAAAATAAAGAGACTCATCATTACGTACAAATGATATACATTATAATTCATACTTAGAAATACTATTACAAATGAATCTTTATTATAACCCGACGCAACCATTTTTGGTTGGTTCGATCAGTGCGGATTCACAGGATGGTTTGAAAATTTCCAAACTAATCTAAATGTTAATTGAGCAAATTAACGATACATTTTCAAAAATCGGTACACTAAATTATTTATTGTTGTCAAGTTCTGGTTTTAATCAAGTATATCTTTGTATAAAACATCAATTAAAAAAATATGAATGGTATAATGACAATGAATAGGTTGTTAGTTCATTCAGAATTTATGTTATTTTCATTCACATTTATATGTTTTTAGGTAATCATTTTTATTTCGTTATTTTGATTTAGATCGCTGACTAACATGGAAAAAACACATAATAACTAAACGGAAGCAACTAGGAATCAAATTCGCTAAATTATACTGGTTGATTGGGAGATGATCGCAGCTATCACTAGAAAACAAAATTTTAATATGTAAGGCAGTGTTAAAACCGGTGTGGACCTATGGTATCCAGCTTTGGAGAACAGCAAGCAACTCAAACATCGACATAATTCAACGTTATCAATCGAAATATCTGCGCACCCTGTTGCAAGCTCCCTGGTATGTGCCAAACAACGTTATCCACAATAACCTCCAAATTAATACAGTGAAAAGTGAAATCTCTAAATGCAATGAATTTATTAGACAATAGTGAAACTCCCCATATACTAAAGAGGCATAACACTCTTGATCTCTCTTATAGATTTTAAAATTAGAATAACGTTTTAGTTATTTGTTTTTATTGTTAAAATTAATATTTATTTATATTATGTATTTTGAAAGGTTTACAATGGGAAACTATTCCGCTCAGTGTTATATTTTGTTACTGTTTCAAAACTATTTACTCGCTGCCAGCATATGGCAGATTGTAAATAATAAATTTATTATAAATATATATATATATATATATTATAGTGGTCATACATAAATTAATAAAAATGTATTAAATAAAATCATATAATCACCGGTTTTAAAAAATCAATTATCTAGGCATATTCTCATGTTTTAGTTTTTTATTAATTTAATTAATAATAATGATGCAACAGTAAAACAAAATTAAACATTGTCATTCAGAACAATAATAACTAAAAATAAGTTTAAATGCTACAATATCTTTTTGAATTATTATTGGTTTTTAAACTATTTGGTTATCAAATAGCCGTAGGATTAATTGTGTGCGGCTAGTAAGGTTTCATTGTTGTATTAGAAATTAATAATTATAGTATAGCCCGGCGAGTCCACATTTATATTACATATTTCTATGGCTTCAACATCATAGCATGCTTTATCAATACGTTTGTAAAATTATAACATTTTATTTACGAAACTTCTATTATTACATTAATAACAATAGAAATTTTGTATATTCGAAAAATAAACTATTTTTGTAGAATATTATGTAGAAATTTAGACAATAGATATAAAATTAGGGTTTATACAAAAAACAACTTACACTACAAATACAAACTTACAATATTACATAAAACTATAACAATATAATATTTTCTCCGTAGAATACTATACAGATAAACGAATAATAGAATCATTGATCTAAATGATTATAAAATATTGTTTTATTTCTTATTTTTTTTTCTCAAAAAATATGATTTTAAAAGAATGTCTATAGATCTATTGCTAAAACAGATCCTTTCTTTGGATGCACAATATGCTGCAATAGACAATACTCTCTTCACTTGCATGCAAACGTCGCATTCATTATTAGTCCCAGGCGTTTTTTTGTTGTTGCAAGATTTCTTCCTACTTTAGAATAGGACTTTTTTTTGACGAAGTTTCCTTTGTTTGTGTATCCGCTGTCCATTCATGATGAATGATGGCCCTATTGCTGTAAGCACTGAGAGTGAAATATTGTTAATTATTTATATAATGTTTTATTATATTAGATTGCAGCAAATAATTATACGATATTTCTAAAACTATATAAAACTCATTAAAAAAAGTACGGTAACCGGACAAAACAGGACAGAACACCACTTCACGGCTCAAAGAGCAACAGCTCATAAAAAGCCACATAACAAATGTTTAAGAAGAAATATTGTAAAATTAAAGTTAATAAATATATATTAAACTAAACGAACACAACAGAGTACGAAAATAACAGAACATTGTTCAAATGTACAAAAGAAGTATATGAATGAATTACATAAGTAAATGTGTACATTTATCAATACCATTTTGCATTGCTATTACATATAAACATTAAAATATATATTTTCTTTTAAATTTTATAACTAAACTATGTAAAAGAACGACGATAGAACGACGTTATACAATATGGTGCTTCTCATTTCTGTTATTTTTTTTCATACAGCGCATTTTATCCGCGTACATTATAAAATATTATGTAAAAATGATGTGAAAATGAAAAGTGCTCGCAGCTTCATGAAATATACTTTTGCAACGTCATAACTTAAAAACCGGAACGCGCGATTCGAATTCGCCCCCGTTGAAATGTTGTGCTCTTAACATATTTTTCGTCTTTGCACGATGCAAAATAGTGTTTGATGCCCACTGCACCGAGATGCATTCAAAAATGCACACACAGACAGACACAACCCATTCCGGACATTTCGGCCCTTTTTCAACCCTTCATGTCTCTTCCCGCATGAATACTTACTTGTTGCACGCAAAAGTGCTTTTTCCCCTCCTGAAAGCTCCATAATTTGATTAAATAAGTTTGTCTTAAAAAAAAACATGACATTCTTTTTTGTAAAAATTCAAAAATGACATCATTTTATTTAGTATTGATTTATTTTTAACATTGAATTTTTAATTATGTCTATTTTTTAATAAAATAATAATTACTATAATTTGTTGGCTAAATTTATACATTCAAAATGCATGCATCCAAAAACAAGAAAGAAACAACAAAATAACAAAATTCAAATTAGAACCCAAAAATTAAAAGATAAATAAAATTAAAGCAAATGTTACTGGCCAAAGGAGTTTTATTATATTCTA